GCAGTATGTAGTTGATGATTATTGACGTATTAGAATGTGATTAATGTCTGATAATAAACTAATAAATCAATAACCATTAACTACATACTTCCCATGTAAAAATTTTTTGCAATTTAACGAAGTTTTGTGACGTGAAAATTCGTTAAAAATTTAACGATTTAACAAAATTTAATGTTACCTTTCTGACCCTAAAAACGCGTTAAATGCGCGAAAATTTAACTCGTTTTCTTTCGTTAAAGAAAGGATCGTTTAACGCGTCTTTCTGCGTTAAAAATAAGACCGTTTAACACGTCTTACTGCGTTAAAAATAGATCGTTTAACGCGTTTTTCCTCGATAAATACTCAAGCTGATGCATACGTTACTGTTCAGAATTTTTTATACATTGTTATTGATCGCAAGTGTGATGAACTTTCCTCAACGATTAATATCTTGCTAAATTTTATTTCTGAACGAATAAAACTTAGGAAGATATCGACCATTGGAGAAAGCTCATCACACTTGCGATCAATAGCAATGTATAAAAAATTCTGAGCAGTAACGTATACATCAGCTTAAGCATTTATTGAAGATGAACAAGTAACGTTTCTCATATTAGATGTGAATTCTATGAGCAAAATAGGCAACTTAGTTTAACTCGATAATAAAGAACCATGAAAAGTTTCAAGTCCAGCTACATAAAATTTTTTTTGAGCTTTTAGAAAAATTTGTACGTTCACTCAACTGTACAGCTATGCTTATGCTGTTACTAAATGTTTGTCATCCTATTTTCTGTACTTTTATAGTTAATTCTTTCTTACCTAAAACCTATCACAAAAAACAATTAACTGTTTTTACTTTTATATGGATCTATTCTGTCATACGAACCAAATCGGAATAAATTTAAAGTGAACAGCACAGGAATATGTATAAGTTCTAAGCGCTTGTAAATCATTTTATAATTCAAGTAGGAAAATTAAAAAACTCTACGTGCGAAAACGAATGCAATGTTTAACGATAGTTATCACGATGAAGCTCGTTAAAAATAAAAGCACGCAAGAAACATCGTTAAATATCTTCACGCGTGTAAACGAACCTAGCTTTCCATGATAGTTAACACGATATAGCTCGTTAAAAATGAAAAAACGCAAGAAGCATCGTTAAAAACTTCACGCATGAAAACGAATGCAATATTAAACGCCATGCAACGAGTTGGTGACCGTTAAAAATACAACCACGCGTGAAAAAGCGTGAAAAATCTAACGCGTTTTCACGAATTTCCCTAACTTACCAAAAATTTATGAAGCTTTCTTGGTTAAACTTCGTTAAATGCATATTTTATTTTTATATGGGAGATGATGATCGTTAAAAAAACAACAACGCGTGAAAAAGCGTGAAAAATCTAACGTGTTTTCACGATTTTTCCTAATTTAACGAAAAATAATGCAGCTTTCTTCGTTAAACTTCGTTAATTTGTCTCTTAACGCAAGTTTTGACGTTAATTTCAACCCTCTCTTCGTTAAATGCATATTTTATTTTTACATGGGTTTACTTTATCTTATTTAATAATATCTTACCTGTTTGGTAAAGTAGATCTACTTTATCCGAAAAGTAAAGTAAAGTGAAGTATCTCTAACTTTGCCGAACAAGTCAGATGTTATAAAATAAAATAAGGTAAAGTATGCAGTTGATGGTTATTGATTTATTAGTTTATTATCAAACATTGATCACAATTTAATACATCAAAAGTTGTGTCGAATTACGGATCGAAGGCTCCAAAAAATTTGAACCTAATTTTATTACATTGAAACTCAGCATTGGACCCTGAATATTTTTCATAATTTCATTTTCTACTTTATTACAACCCAACTTTTCACACATGGGTCCTCCTCAGGTATCGAAAATACATTTTTTTCGCTGCTCTATCACAGATCTTTAAAATTCAATGATACCAAGTGTACTGATTACAAATATCTCATTTGTTTTCAAAAGTATTCAGATAATAAGAAAGATTGAAAGCATTCCCTAGCATCATTAAAAACTAGCTTTTGTCCAGAAATTTTACTGAAATACGACCAGATTCGTTTCATCCATATCAAAATGGACTTGACTTGATCAAAAATTCGTTTTCTAACGACACATTCATTGGAAAACATTTTCGTAACTAATTTTTATGAAATATGGATTATTTAATGCGTTAGTCCAAGATTGACTATTGGACTAACTCACAGAATTTACCTGAAACTTTTTATGGGTAGATCGGCGGTGGAATTATATACAATTGAGGACAAAAGTAGGTACTCCCCTAAAGTGATATTATATTCCATCATTCCGAACTGATCTTTTGGAAGAATGTCGGCCTCATTGAACCCTGATCGCAAACACCACAACGCCCTCAGTAGGTTGACGTTTGTTGAATATATCACTTGTACATCGTCATCGCCTTACGAAGGTCACATCTCGATCATTTTTCAACATTCTCTTTCGCATAAACCGATATTCGAAACCTCAGAGATGCAACTATCATTAGTAAAATTTTGGTGAGAAATAGCGAAGATCCAAAGCTCGCATTGAAAACTTCTACCAAGTAGAAAATCCTTGTTTTCAGTTTGGAATCGATAACTTGAGCTAAAACCGATCAATGCAGCGGAACATTGTAGCAATGACCCATCATCAATCCACCGATTTGTCGTAAAATATTCAGAGTTGTAGATCTATGTAGAGCTGAGATATAGTCATTGGAAGAATTCACCATACCACACTTTACCTATAAATGGAGCTACGGTATTGTGTGGTGACCTTTGGACCCAAGCAACTATATAAGCAAGGCGACAACTAGCACCAAAAAAAGCAAAAATTCATTTCAGGATTACGAAACTGCGAACTAAAAGCTTCTGAGATGATATTTTCCCTCCATGTCTTCAATAAACCGTTGGCACTGCCTATAAGAGAGTAGAATTATCAACTACTAGTGAATTTACGCTCATCTTTCCGGAAATACTCTTTTTCAGTCAGAATAATTCAGAGGGTGTGTACAAAACGCTGATTCCATGAAGCAGAAACTCTGTGAAATCAGCAAAATGGTTTTGAGATGAAATGCTTCCTAACAGAGAAGTATACTGTGCATAGATATGCTACCAGGGGAGGATTGCCGAAATTGAAGAGAAATACCATCTTAAAAACTTTTAGTTCACAGTTTCGTCCTCCTAAAATAAATTTTTGATTTTTTTTTGTGCTAGCTGTCCTCCAGCATATCTAGTTGCTTGGATCCAAAGCTCACCGCATAATACCGTAGCTCCATTGAGAGACAAGCTGTGGCAGGGGAAACTCTTTCAATAGCTCTATCTCAGCTCTGCATAGAGCTACGGCTCTGATTATTTTACCACAAACTTGTGGATCGATGGCGCGTCATTGCTGAAATTTAAATTGCATTGATCAATTCTAACTCAAGTTATCGATTCCAAACTGAAAAAAAGGATTTTCTACTTGGTAGAAGTTTTCAATGCGAACTTCGGATCTTCGCTATTTCCCACCAAAATTTCACTAATGATAGCTGCATCTCTGAGCTTTTGAAAGACGGGGTGGGCGAAAGTGAATGTCGAAAAATGATCGAGATATGGCCTTGATAAGGTGATGCCGATGTACAAGTGATATCTTCAACAAACGTCAACCAACTGAGGGTATGGAGGTGTCTGCGATCAAGGTTCAATGGGGCCGACATTCTCACAAAAGATCAGTTCGAAATGATGGAATATAATATCACTTTAGGGCAGTACCTACTTTTGTCCGCTAGTGTAAATGATCTGATCAAGTCATCGGCTTGCGTTAGGGCTAATCAATAGAAGCCCTAATCCAAAAGATACCCATGTCAACCCAACTCAGTGAGCATTTCTACCCACATAAGCCTACTCAGTTTTGTGTGTTAAATTCAGATATTACACTTTTGTGGAGTCAAATTGGATTTTTCTATTCGAAAACCATAGAATATTAGTCGAAAATGGGGCAGACAAGTTCTCAAGGATAAGATTTTGAGCAAAACTGCTTTACTAGATATAAATTTTCACGTGGAAAACATTGTCACTAAAGAGAGCACATTTAGATGCACTCTTGGTAAAGAAATCTGACCACAGCACCTGTAGAAACTCTGACTTCGTAAGGGTGACAAAATATTATGAGAGATAATCAGACCTAATCGGAGCGGTTTTGCCAATTATCGATAGAATGAATCGAATATTCAAGACGTTTTCATAGTTGCTGGTAGAGAAAAGAATTCTGTGCCAAATTAATCTGTTGTCGACGAAATAGAGCTGTATTTTAATGAAGTTTCTGGTCACAAGCTTTTTTTTAAGGCTTTCAGGAGATCCTTTCTATCTTTCTTATTACCTAAGTACTTTTGAACACAGATGAGATATTTGTAATCAGCTCACTTAATACTATTGAATTAGAAAGATTTGTAATAGGATCACGATAAAAATATTTTTTCGACACCTGAGGGGAACCCTAAGTGTGAAAAATTGGGTTGTAATAAAGTGGAAAATAAAATTTTGAAAAATAGTGAGGGCTCAATGCTGATTCTCAAAATATTAAAAATAGGTTCAGACTATTAGGGGCTCTTGGTCCGTATTTCGACGCAATTTTTAACGTATTAGAATGTGCTTAATGTGTGATAATGAACTAATAAACCAATAATCATCAACTACATTCTTTACTTTATCTTATATTACTTCATCTAACTTTTTCTGTAAAGTAACAGATACTTCACTTTACTTTATTCAGTAAAGTAAAGATAAAGTGCCATCCCTAACCCACACCCACACCCACACCCACCCCACACCCTAATGACTGAAATATATGAGAGCAAAAATTTTGCGTTTATATATTTCGAGCGTGAGCGTTGATCTTGCCTTCATTCACACTCAAATGGATCAATCACAGTAATCGTTTTTAGTCGTTGATTTTGAATCTTTTCTTCTATCTGATGTGAATAAGTAATCAAAGATTCCTTTCGATGGTGGATTTCGATATTCATCACGAATCAAATTGATCTTCGATTCGTCAAATAGTTCAAGTTGTTCATTGTTTTCGATTTCCATCCATCCATAGATTGGATCTGCATCGTCAATGAAATAATTTCCATTTTGATGTCGAATCGGAGCTCGTCGTGCATAATCTACTGGCCAATAAGTAAAATGATGATTTTGTTCAGCGATATGAATATGATCGTTGACAACATCAGTGATAACAGTTACGTGCCCAAAAGGCATATTGAGACTTCGAGGATAAATGAGCAAAGAATCTTTTGTTGGTGGTTTTGAAGAACCATTGAAAATTGCACGAAGAGAAAAATGTTTTCCGTCAGTGATTTGTTCAATATAGTGCAATTTATTCCACATATTATCAGCACAAGAAATATTACAAAACGTACAGCTTTTTCGTAAGATTAACCAACGACGAGCGAATTCAACACATTGCCATTGATAGCCAGTAAATATGTCGTAGAGATAGTTTCGACCAGTGTTTAATAGACAACTATTTTTGTTTGGATATGCAAGAACATTGGTCGAAGCTATTCCTTCGATTTCATCGAAAGGTACTTTTCTTTCAGCAT